CCAGTACTGCACCTGTTCAGCTGGGAAAGAAAGGCAAAGAATTCGAATTCTCCCAGTTGCCCCTCAAGGTGGAGTTCCTGGAGTGTAGTGCCAAGGGTGGACGAGGGGATGCCGACACCGCCGACATCCAGGACTTGGAGAAGTGGCTGGCCAAGATCGCCTGAGGGGCAGCCCTGGCTGCAAGCCTTGGGCTTCTCTGACTGACGAGCAGTTTGGGAAAGGGCTGTGGTGGTGTGGAGCTGAAGAGGCAGCATGGCCTGTGTCTGCAGCATCTCCGTGTTCTAGAAACAATTGTTGCAGCTCGAGAGCATTGTCCCTCCCTCTAGCTCCTTTCTCAACTAGTCCTTTTTATTTAATTCTCCTGTTCTCCCTCTTGGTAGGTGTAGCATTACTTTAGTGTGTGACATAGCAGAGAGGACATTGCCATGAGAAAAGGGAAGTTCCTGTCCTCTGCCTCTGCTTCGGTCCGTTTTCCCGGAGCCAGACCTGCCCTTTTATGGCGCCAGTTCATTTCCAGTTGCCCCTGGTATTTTGGCATAACTAATGCATTGTCAGTTCTTAGTGAAGTCTCAGATATAAAGGTAGTTACAGTGAAGACAGGTTCAGAACCACAGGGCACCGTTGACAGTGACCTGTCTCCACTCCAGCTGAGGTTCAGAAGCCTGCCGGGAACCTCTAGAGTCACTCTCACGTGACGGATGTAAGAGCCAGCTCCCCAGACACTCGTGGTTTAGTGTGCTCCAGAGGTTCCCCTGGGGAGAGCTGGGAGACAGTGCACTGCTGCCTCTGGGGGCAAGTGAGGCCCCAGGCTGTCTGCCTGTGCTACTTGGTCAGCTCCTGTTGTGTCGCCTCAGCTCAAATGCCATGGAACAGCACAAACGGGAAAAGTCCACTGTATATATTTTTAAGTGAATTCATTCATGCTTTAAAAAAAAGTTGCCTTTTCAAAGTAATGCTGTCTTAAATGTTTGTGTTTTTATTGCTTTTACAAATGGCTGGTATCTTGATAAATAACTATCTGAAAGCATTAAGTTGATTGATGAGCGAGTACAGCTGGGAAGCTGAACTAGGATTCAAGCTCAACTCTAGGTTACTTGAGCCTACTACATGTATACAGACTCTGTCTCCTCTCACACTCAGAGACAGGCCTCATTAGAGAGACCCTATAGGAGAGGCATGACTCGAAGTGTGGTGCTTGGGAACACGCACAGGAGCGTCTGGGCTGGCCTTGGGGACCAGTGGGAGTCAGGATAAACACGGTGTGCTCCCTGTGCAGTCCAGCCCCAGCCTCTGCCGCACCACATGGCATCCCTGTGGGGCCCAGATTGCTGCTGTTCCCAGCAGGCACTCAGGGCTCCCCACCCTAACGCATTTCTTCCTGGGGTATGAGACGCGGAGCACGAAGGTTAAGTCGAGAGATGACCCTGTCACTTCTTACTAGGAAGCAGTGTGCTGTGGGATTCTCGCTGCTCTCTGGACCCTGCCGCATGAATGACTGACATTACAGTAGTTGTTCAGGGGAAGAAAGGTGGATGTTTAGTTAAAGAATATGTGTTTGCTGGGCAATGGTGGCACGTGCCTTTAATCCCAACACTCAGGGAAGCAGAGGCAGGCAAATCTCCATGTGTTCTAGGCCAGCTTGGTCTATAGCATGACTTCCAGGACAGCTGGAAATACACACAGAAACCCTGTCTCAAAACAAAACAAAACAAAAAAAAACCCCTGTGTTCACTGACTCTACTCCCTTTTTTTCTGGGTAATAAAGTGATCTTATTTACTGGGAGAATCGGCACATCCGAAAAGTGATGAGGATGGAGAGCAAAGATATAAGTTTTATTCATAGCCCGAGGATGCTCTTAAATAAAAGGTTAGGTTGGGCAAGGCTGGAAACCCGGTTGGTAGAGTGCTTGCCTGGTGCTGCAAAGCCCAGTTGTACAGGGGCAGCTGCACTGAGGAAGGCCTGAAGGATTCCACTTCTGGAGTCTCAGCACGACCAGACCTCATTCTGGTTTTTCAAGCTGTGGCTGGTAGTGGTAGCTTTTCACTACCAGGTGCCTCACAGTTTCTGGAAGGGCCTCAGCTCTTAATGAACAACAGCTGGGGAACCCCTACCACTGTTTCCCAAGGCCTCTACACCTCCTGACAAGGTCTTCTGACATCATTTCACCCAGAATGTAGCCTTAATCAGCACCCTTAGGTCCCTCCCCACGGGAGCACTTAGCCATGTTCTGTTGACCTTAAAAAATATGTATTTGTGTACACACACAAATATATGTATATATGTGTATATACATGGATATGTTATATATAATGTAGCCAAGAGTACAAGGTTTCCCTGATATATATAAAATTGGGCTTAGCAAACAGTGGTCACTCTTGCAGTGACGAGGAGAGTCACCCAGTAGCCCCTGCCCTTGCCACACTGCACTTCAAACAGGACAATCACAACGTCATCTTGTGCACACCAGGAGTACCTCAGCCTTGAGACAGCGGGGCTTAGCTGTGCTAACGTAGAGAGCAAGTGTGTCCTCGGTGTGAAGCCCCGTGGCTCTGGACACTGCTGTGTCGGAGGAGGGCTGTGTGTCCTTGGTGTGAAGCCCCGTGGCTCTGGACACTGCTGTGTTGGAGGAGGGCTGTGTGTCCTTGGTGTGAAGCCCCGTGGCTCTGGACACTGCTGTGTTGGAGGAGGGCTGTGTGTCCTCGGTGTGAAGCCCCGTGGCTCTGGACACTGCTGTGTTGGAGGAGGGCTGCTGTTCTTGCTTTCGTCTGCCATGTAGTCGTGTTCTCGGGCTCTCTCGGCCCTCCCCACTTCCCCACCCCCTGTATCTGCCCACCTCACACCTTATCACTAGATACCAATCTAAGTGGGCAGGGACTTTTGTGTCCTCGTGGTGGCCTTGAGGTGGCAAACTGGAGTGTTCCAGAACTTTTAGGACCTTTCGATGGGAAAGGTCACTCGTGAACTGAAACTTCAGCATTCTAAGGAATTGTTCCCAGAACCCAGATGGGAACTCAGGACACATACTATGGTAGGCGTAGTGGAGACCTAAGGGGCCTCTCAGAGACTGTCCCCCAAGTGGTGTGGAAGAAGCTGGGGGTGGTGATGGCTGATGTGATCTAAAAGAGGATCATGATAACCCAGGCAATCATCAAAAGGGTAAGAAACCTAGTCCCTGCACTCTGCCTCCTTAACCCATAGCCCTGTTGAGTAGAGTGGAGAGGTGATAAATGCACTCCTGAGTCCTGGTTCCTCCTGGAGTCTCCCTGACCTTTTACTGTTAGGCTGTGCATACAATCTCACTAGCCCACAGTTTTCTCTTAGAATCAGTGGAGAGCCCAGGTGAGCAGGGACAAGAGGCAAAAGGTCTTCCATTGGGGACATGCCACCCAGACATGAGAGGGCCTTTGAGGAAATCCACTTTTAAGCCAGCCCCCTATATATAAAACCGTACCTCTTAGACACAGTCGACAAGAAGTTTTGTGTTGAGAATCAGGACATTTATTGTTTGACCAACATGCTGAGTCTTTTCCACATATTACACAGTTGAATGTAAAGTCAATATGGCCGCTTTGCCTTCTGAGCCCATTACAGATGGAAATGCCACCCTCTGTGTTCCTCTTTTAAAGAACAGGTGAGGTGAGAAGTCAACACACAATAGGCAGGCTGGCCTTCTGGTTGCTATGGAGGCTTCTTGTCTCCTGAAGAGACCATCTGAACTCCCGCTGCAAGGCTTTCCTGATAATATACCCTGCAGAGTGCCAATCAGACAGGGCCTGGAGTCCAAGGAGTTTGCACACTGAAACTGCAAGATTTTGGAATACCGAAGAAGTTGATTTAAAAAAAAAAAATTAAAAGGGTGCCCTGACTACTGCTCTGTGTGTGGTTAGACAATGCAAGTAGATTTGGGGACCACCCATTACAGTGAAGGAGCCCAAACCACCTATATTCTCTCTAGCTACTAAGGCTGGAAATAACATGTTCTAGCCATGGTGTAGAAATGGCTCAAGGGACACGAGCACAGGATGCAGTCGTGTCTGTACCCCCAGGTCAGCAACGGGTGGAGGATGCCAACACCGGCTCTGATCGTCCCTGGCTTGCAGGTGACCTTGTTTGTTTCGGCTGGCTCCCGGTGCTGAGGCACGATGACAGTGCCTCCCATTCTTGGGGGAGAGGTAGTCTGGGAACTAGTGAGCATTGGACACACTCAGACACACTCCTGCCTGCTGGCTCTCGTAGCTCTGACTCACCACCTTCTCCTGCCCTGTCCTCCTGATAGCCTCTCCCCCTTCCGTATGGCGAAGGAATAAACTGCTCTACCTGCAGGACGCTGACACCAGTGCTGTCCCCACACTGTCACACGGGATACTGGAGGCCAGGCACTGGCTAGAGCTCTGACTGTGCCCAGCTGTCTACACTCCTAGCTACCACCTTGCAACCTTTATCTCTGCTGCCTGACGTTTAACTGATGCGACCACGGCTTCGCCTCCCATCTTGGGATACTGCGGAAATGTTTAAGATGGCGACAGGAAGGAAGCAGTGGCCGTGACAGCAGTCAGGCCCTGGCCACCAAACATTCTAACCTCTGACCCCACAGCAAGACTAGCACTCAGGACACTGACGTCACACCTCCATTTTGGTGTGCATGTGGGTATAGCTAAGCCGCCTGCCTTTCCAATCTTAGACTATTCCTGAAATGCTCACAGAAGTTTTGCTGACAATCTCCTTCAAGACTCCTAAAGAAAAGAGAGAGGGCCATGCCCATCTGCCAGGCCAGGCTCAAATGTCCAGGGAGAGGAACTGAATTACTAAGTTGAGATCTTGTCCTAAGAGAATCCTCCATTCAGTCTTCTGACTGATGTGGATTCAGCAAAGATGGGGGCACTGAGATAATTTCAGGACATCTTCAAGCAAACCTGACCAGATCCTGCCGACGAGGAGGGTGGTGGGCGTCAAGGAGAAATCAGTCCCGGACGCAACAGAATTAGTTCTGTGCGGGGGGGGGGGGGGGGGGGGGGGGGGGGGGGGGGGGGGGGGGGGGGGGGGGGGGGGGGGGGGCTGCCTTAATGGCCGTCAGAGAAGGAGATGGGCTGAGGAAAAGGCCAGGGCACCGCTGGGGTGGGAGAGCAATGGGGTGACTGTACCCTCATTCTTAGAGGCAACGAGACTGGGAGACCCTAAACTCAAGAGTGGGCTTTGTGGACAGGCTAGGAAGGCAGGGCTCCTTAGGTCCGATCAACCAGGATGGCATCCACCATGGCTCCTGCTGTTTCTAAAGTATGCCATGATGCCTCAGATTGTGTGCACAAGAGGAGGGAACAGATCTGCTACTTGGAGTTATAGAAATACGGGTAAGGTTATCGTTCAGTGCCAAGAAGATTAAAATTCACCATACATCCATTCCTTGAGACACAGGACAAAGCCCTGTCCGTGGGGCTCTGCCAGAGGCTGCCAGCGAAGCCCTTCCCTGCCAACCAGGCTGCTGTCAGCACAGGGTAAGTGTGCCTTCTTCCAACAAGCACCACTTAGGTGGGGTGCCCACGGTGGGGGGGACACTGGCCCACAAAGGCATGCACACCTGTGCACACAGGTACAGAAAGCAGTGAAGGTAGTTAGTTCTGTGGACGAGTTTTGATTGTAGCTTAACACATCTATGCACTATTTTATTGAAGGCAAGACAACCACAAGTTATTGAACAATATTTTGAGTATTTCTTATTTCAGTACACTGCATACTTTTGAACTTCCAAAACTGGAATCACAATGCAAGTTCCAACTCGAGAGTGGGAGCGACAGGAATATACACTGAGCACATGTATACGTGAGGATGTGTGTGTGTGGGTGTATGCACAAGTCTATCTCTATGTATAATTATGTACACACATAAAAAAGCTAAACACATGATGTTTCAGTTACGCTTGTACATGGGTCCTTGCCTTCTGGAAGCGGTACCCAGGAGGATCCTGCTTCCTCTCTTCTTCACCAGAATGGGCACTGACACTGTCTCCCAGGATGGAGAAGCATGGCAGGCCCACTCACTAAATGAAACCCGCCATGCAGGCTGCCATTCTGAACTCATTTCTGAGAAGTTCCATAATTCATCCCAACCCCCTGTGGTGGCATTTACCCTGCACATCAGCGGTCTGGAGACGAGCCAATGCTATAGGACTGGGATGTTCTGAAGGGTCACTGCCCCTGTCTGTTTTGGGGCAGGCTTAGGGCAGTGAGTCTGGGGGCGTTGAGGGTGTGGGTTACTTTGCTTTGAGGAGAGAACTCTGTTAAGAGTCTCTGAGGATCTTTAAGACTAAAGCAGTCTCAGGAATGAGTGGAAACAGCAAGGACAGCTTGCTGGGGCAGGTGGTAGTGCCCTGGGCAGCCTTCTGGAAATCCTACAGTAACCTCAAGATGCCCGTAGTGCAGCCACAACACTCCAAAGGTATTCACACAAAGATTTCAAATGTACCATGCCAGGGGCTGAAAACACATCAAGGAATCAACGCTCCCACAACAGTACCCAGCAGGAGGAATAGAAGGTCTGGGAACACATATTGTTCAGAGTCAGGGCGGACATCTGTCTCTTCCCCAATCACAGGTGGACCAACGGCACGTGCCCCAGGCTTCAGCACCCCTGAGCCACCCCGCTTCACCTCACACATTGAGTTGGCCAGTCAGCCTAAGTACATGCGTCAACTGTTGGGCCAGTAGCTTACAACATTTGAGAACCACAACCCTGCCTCAGTCCTCAGCTGCCTGGAGCACCCCATCCTTCCAGTACCTTCTCGCTCTGCTTGTCACTGGGTCAGCACAGAGAACACACGGTTGTCTGTGTTCTCTGTCTCCATGTTTTTTCAGGGGAGGAGATGAGGCAGAAGCAGCCGTGGAGCCTGGCGCTGATGCTAAAGCCCACAGGCCTTCATTTCCAGTCAGGGGCCGGCTAATATGTCCCACTCTGCCAAGGAAGGACTGAATAATGGCCCCTCTGGGCTGTTCTGTTAAAGTAAAGTCTGATTTGACTGAGGGGAGCCTGGGTAGAGGGCTTGGTTGGTTTGAGTCACGTGACCCAGGCCTGGAACCTAATTACTACTTTTCAGTTAATTGCTTTAATTTACGGGACAGGGGATGGGAGGAAGGTAGAGGTGACACACAGTTTCAAGAGAACAGGAAGGAAGAGGTGTATGGAGAGGTTCTCTATAAGTTTACAAATATACAAAAACAAAACCAAAAAAAAGCACATCTTTCAAATAAAAATGACTACTTCTTTTATCTGGCAAAAAGTTGTATACACATGATTTAAATTTTTTTTTAATTTTAACAGTTTTTGGCAATCTTAATAAAGTACAATATATTACAACCAAACCAAAAAATAGTTGTTTAGGTAACAGCTGTTAAGAGTGACGTGGTCCCTGATGCCCAGCCTCCCTCCCCATGTCCCACCCTACTCCTAGAGAGAGAGAGAGAGAAAAGAAAGATCCTCCCGTTTGATAAACTCATTTCCCACCCCGTTAGGAAGCTAACCAATAGGAGGCAACACAAGTGAGTGTTTTCGAGGAAGCCGAGTGGGTCCGCATTAGCAGGAGCAGCCACCCTCGCTGGCCGGCGGCTCCTGGGGCTTGTCCAGCTTGATGTCAATCACTGTAGGAGGCTGGCTAAGGAAGATGACGGTCACCAAGATGCCACTCTGTCCTTCAACACACCCCACACTCAGCTCTTCACTCAGCTGGAGTGGGAAGGAACTGCCCGTCTTCCACCCTTCTCTCTCCTACCTCCACCTACCTACATCCCCCACACTGTCTACCCAGAGGGAAACTCGGGCTGTGAGGTGACACAAAGGCTAGGGAGGGTCTGTCTCTGAAGCTTTCCCCAGTGACTGATGGATGGTGCTCAAATTCCGTTAGTCTCAGCCTCATTAACTACTGGCCCTCCTCCCAAGTGCTACTTTGTCATGGCACACCCTCTGAGTGTGGAGGATGCTTGTAGCATCCCTGATCTCCACCCATCCTCTGCCAGAAGCACTTGCTTTCCAGTCCCCTAACTTACCACAACCCAAGTCGTCGGCAGACATTGCCCAATTCCCCTCATGAGGGAGGGGCTGGAGTCAGTACTGGTCTAGCTAAAAGGCTGGCTGCTGCCATGATGACATTCTGTCCCATACGGGAGTGACCTGACTGTGTTCCAAAGGAATCTTCTACAGTGCAATCTGAGGCACAACACTTATGGACACCACGTGGGATTTTTGGACGGTGTCTAAAAAAATCTCCTGAGAAACCTGTTACAAAATACATCTTCCTGGTGGATCTGGAGATGGATCTGCAGGGCGAATTACTAAAAACTCTGGAACATCCCAATGCATGGCACCTGGTGTTCCAAAAGGACTTGTGGCGGGAGGCTACGCTCCATCTGCATGTCCAGTATGGTGGCCACACTAAACTTTTTAAACTGTGTGTGTGCATACAGTAGGGTCTCTCACTAAATCTGGAGCTAGGCTGGTGGTCAGCAAGCCTCACTGACCCTCCTGTCTCCGCACAGCACTGAGGCTACAGTTCCGTGGCCATGTCTGGGTTTTCACAAGAGTGTCAGGGATTCAAACTTGGGTCTTCAAGCTTGCGCAGCAAGTGGCTTTGCCCACTGACCCATCTCCACATCCTGAAACTTAACTTTAATATTAACCCAAGTCTAACTAGTTTAAGTGGAAACACTCATGTAAGATATGATATTATAAAGCACAACTTTAAATACTTTGCTGCAGGCTTATGTACACACTAACATTTAATGTTTCCTTTTTGTACTGCTACGTGCCACTGGAATACTGCGGTCGAGGGCAGCTTCTGATTGAAAAGATGGGGAAGAATGGGTGGGCTGACTTCTCAATCATCCCCAGAAGAGGAAACTCTGTGCGGAGATGTGCCATAGGACTTGGGATGAACCTGCCCTGTGCTCTTCTGTAACAGGACAGCATGTGGCTTCATGTCCCTCTAGCCCAGTATGCTGCACCGGCCACACTCAGGACCCCAGGTGTGGCCCGTCACTAACCACATCAAAGCCCACTGTCTGATGGCTCCTAAGACAGTGATGGGCCCAGATGGCCTGTTATTACCTTGTCTCCAACTGCTGGGTATGCTTCCCCACGCCAGTACTTCTGGTGCTATGGGGGACACAGAGGACAGAGGCTACAGAATACAAACATTTGGATTTTGTCACAACTCTGCAAGTTTATCAGCTGGGAGGTCTGGGACATGTTCTGCCCTGCTTGGGAGGCCTAAGTGTCATGGTCACTGCCACGTCACCGCCAGAAAGGAGAGTCCTGTGTGTGTGTGGTCCCAGCAAAGGGCTTGTGGCTCCATTATCCTGGGGTCCCTTAGCCCAACTCTGTTGAGAGCTACAGAGTAGGTGGTAGAAGCTGCTAGAAAGGCCCTGGGGAGGCTTCCTGTGCAGGGTGGAGGGGAAGTACAGGAGCTCTCTGGGGATCTGGAAGCAGGGCACATCCATGCCCCACCCCCACCACCCGTCCAGGGAGCAGAGCCACCTAAGAACCTTTCACAGAGCACCCCTAAGTGGCATTTCTGTGTGCTTGATCCTCATGTCCATGCCATCCTAAGCATGACCCTAAGAATGCATCCTCAAGACATCTGGGTTTGAACCATCTGCAGGCAGATGTGTTAGCCTGACACTCCAGCTGAGCCAGAGTGGTCACTGTTTTCACCTGGTCCCTTCTGAGCTGTCTCCAGTCTGTTGCAGTCTGTCTTGCCTCCTAGGAGGTTCTAGCCATTGGACACCTGGAAGGGTATGGCTGCATCTGGCAGATGGGGGTACCGCACAGGGCAAACAGACACAGCCCAGGTTACCCTGTGTGATCTGCTTGCTATCTGCTCAGAATTCTTCCCCTAGAGCCAAGTGAGATGTTAGGCACACTAGGATGTCATGCCAATTGTCACCCTGAAATGGGAGCATGTGGCCTGATTGCTGGTCCAGCATGGATTCCCATGTGGACCATATTCCGGGAGGACATACATGAATGGCCACCACTCACCCGGGCAGGTTGGCTTTGCCTTTGCAATGGGCAGGGCAGAAGGAGGCTATCTGTCCCTCATGGTTGGCACAGTAGGGGTCACCATGCCTCTTGCCTTCCTGTTCTCTTCTTGACCTTGCAGGTGGGTTTCTGCGTTCTCTGGCAACTTGAGGGCTCCTCACCTGGCTGGTAACACTGGGGGTCTTGCCCTCAAGGACTGCAGCCCAGCTCAGCCATGCAATGAGAGACACTCTCTGTAGCCCAGGGTCTGTTTCTGTCTCCTTACCTGCAAGTGAGGTCTTGTGAATCAGGTGACACACATTAGTCTGATCCCCTTGGTGCCCTGTCAGCCTCTGAAGCACACAGGTACTGTTTGTCCTCTGGGTATTACTGGGGTACCTGCTCTTGGGGCTCGAGTCTGTCTCAGGCTCACCTCTGCAGCAACTGCTAGGACGCAGCAACTGCTAGGACGTAATTTCCTACCCCGCACCAAGAGCACTGAGCAGAGGAAAGGGAGAGGGACAGCCACGTCACGTCACAGCTTTAAACTAGATGTTCCCCTTGTTTCCACCCTCACCAGCCTGAAGGCGCTTCTGGAACCACTTGGGTCACTCTGTGACCCTCAGTGAGTGTCTCCTTCAGAGACCTCTAGGGCTAAGTGGAGGATGCTGGGTATCCCAGTCTTAAAGATGTAGGCTGGGGTTTGAGAGTCCAGTCTCTTGGGCTTTATTAAGGCGGGACCATCTGACCAGCTTCAAAGAACACCTGTTTGTGGGCCATGTCCTCATGCCCCTATGTGCTTCTAATTGCATCCCCTCAGGTGCCCTTTGAGAGACAGCACCCCAGCACAGAGAAGGGGTAGATACGAAGGGAGCCTCAGTGTGAATCCTAATTCCCTAAGTTACATACATGGCCTCTATGTGCCTCAGTTTCAGCACTGGGTGTTAGCTAGGTTGGGAGTGCTGCGCAAGCTTGTTCCACAGCGCAGCGGGGAGCTGGAGGAAGCACTGACGCGCTGAAATCACGTGCTAGTGTATAGAAGCATCCTTGCCTGGCTCTCCGGTGGCCTCAACAAAACACACATCATGTTTACTACAGAGAAAGACAGAGCCACTATTTCTTTTCCCCTCCCCACACCGGTGATTCCTGCACAGTCCTGGCCTCTCTTTCCTACAGGGAAAGAGGAGGCAGCCTTGGTTACAGCTGGCTGGGGGCTCAACGGCCATGGAGCCCATCCTGCTGCTGAACAGGGGCGGCCTGAATATCTGGATCAGTCCAGGGAAGGCCGGGCTTGGAGGCCGGGTAGCATGCACCTGCTCTAGTGCAACACCAAGCCAAACACAGGCTTTGGGGCCGTCTTTTCACTCACGTGTCAAAGGAAAAGGATACTCCCTTCTTTGCTCTTCTCCTGGACGTTCTCCATGCCGGGCAGAGCCGATGCCACACGTCGGAAGAGCTGCAGGCAGGAGATGCAGGGTGAGGCCCTCCCAGTCCCCCTCCTCCCCTCTCCCCATCTCCTCCCGCACTGCTCTCCTCATGTGGATGGGTATTATGGATGTCTGCCTGCTGACAGGGCCATGGAGTGCAGGCTTTGTCTGAGCCCTTTGCTGTCACCATAGCCCCTCACAGGGCAGGTCCCGGAGGGTCTCAGGGTGTTTGCAGGAAGAGGGAGACGGCCTGGTTAATAAAGTGCTTGCCACACAAGCATGAGGCCCCAACTTCAATGCCCAGAATCCACGTTAAAATCTGGGTATATAGCGGCACACACTTGTAATCCCAGCGATGGGGTGGCAGAGATAAGTAGGTTCTCAAGGAAGGACTCACTTGCCTCCCAGCCTAGCGGGACTGGTACAGTCCAGATAAAACCAAAACCCTGTCTCAAAATACAGTGTAGAAGGCACCTGACGAATGACATCAGAAGTTAGCCTGTGGCCCGCACAGGTGCTAACACACGCATGTCCACACACATTGCAAAGCTGTGGCTTCTCCTGCAGGCAGACTGGCCATAGGCAGTCGGCAGGGGCGTGATGGTGACTGCAGAGGTCCTGTCCTAGTGCAGAAAGCATCCAGGCCACAGGGAGCAGGCTTCTGGCCTGTTGCCCTCACGTGGGAAGTAGGTGTAAAAACCAGTTTCTGACCTGACTTAAGACAAATGGCATTACTCAGGGACACTGGGGCAAGGCCGACGCTGGGAACCAGGGCCACAGCCACAGTGAGGAACATGAGAATGCCACCATGACACACGTGTGTGTGTGTGTGTGTGATACATATGGTGTGCAAGACTTTGTAGAGTATGTGTGGAAAGTGTGCGTGTGGAAGGTGTGTGTGTGAGTGATATATATGGTGTGCAAGATTTTGTAGAGTGTGTGTGGAAAGTGTGTGTGTGTGTGGTATTGTGAATGCCATGTTCCTGTGTGTATTTGAGAAAGTGAGCGTGGGGGAAGCAAGCACACTAAGTGTGGTTCATGTATGAGTTCACCTAAGTAAGTGTGTATGAGAACAGGAGCAGATACGGGGGGAGGGGGAGCACCTGGAAGGTGGAGGCTGGCAGGGATAACATCTTGTAAGAAACAAGTACAGGCCGAAGCCCAGAGCACAGAAGATTCTGGACTAGTCTGGATGTCTGGGTCTCCCCTAAGTTCATATGCTAAAACCTGGTTCCCAGCAGAACGGTACAATGTAGGTGGGATTTTCTTAAGCCCAGGCAGCCCGAGCAGCTAAGCTCTGCTCACGGACAACTTGGGTTCTGTGGATCCCAGCTACACACGACTGCTCCAGCCCCAGCTCCACCTCTTCTCCCTCCTACCATCCCCAGCTGCCGTGGGATCCTATTTGCTCCATTTCTGAGTTTCCATTCATGGCCCGGAGTTCTTGCCACATACAGGACATAAACCCAACACATTAACCAGACTAAATATTTCATGTTCTCTTTGGAAGTGAAGTGAGATGCTAGGAACCACAGCTTTCTCAGCCAGGTGGGAGTCTAAGGGCTCTCATCCACGCAGGCTGCTACAGGGGCCCACACCTGATCACAGCTGTGGAGACTAGTGACTGAGGGTGTCTGCGTGGCCCCCAAGCTGATGGCTCCCTCCACATCACCTGCTTTACCAGCCATGGAAGTCAGTGTCATCCCCACGAGAAGCAGGTGTATGTGCTGGCTGGATGCCCCAACCTAGTCACCAGCCAGCTCCAGGAAGGTCCCAGGTGAGGGCTTCTAGACCTGGGTGAGTCAGGGATATTGCCGGCCGGGCCCTCACCTGCTTCACGTTGTAGCCGGTCTTCGCGCTGGTCTCGATGAACATAACACTCAGTTCTTTGGCCCGCTGCTCCCCTTCCTCAATGGTTATCTGCCTGGAAGTGAAGGGGGGATGGAAAGATCAGCTGGCAGAGGGGCAATCCCGGCAGAAGTGAAGGGGGCGGCCTAAGATGAAGGGCTATGGGAGGGCAGAAGGAGCCTGCCAGGCCCCTTAGTGGGCCCTGAAGACAGACTCCCTGCCAGAATGCCAGCCGTCATCTGTCTAGTAAGAAGGCGGTACTTGAACACAGAGGACGCTGGCCCCTTTCCATGTCTTCTGACCAGGGAGCAAGGCTACCCCCACCTTTGAAAGAAGGGTCACATGCAGCCAGGCTGGCCTTGAATTTGTGATGTAGCAAAGAATGACACTGACCTTCTGACTGCCCTGTGTCCGCCGCCCTAGAACAGGGACTGCAGGTATATTTTACCAAGCCTAGTTTTATGAGTGCTGGGGACTGATCCCAGGGTTCCATGCATAGAAGGCAAGTGTTCTACAACTGAGCCACAACCCCACTGTCTTTCTCGGCAGCTGTCAGACCTGGAGCTCCTGCACACATGCCACCCGGCCTTTTCTGGGAGAATCAGCCTTTTCCTAATATACAAACCCAAATTAAAATACTCCCCCCCCCAACACACACACACTGCTCTTCAGAGGAGCCCACTTCCCTCCCCTCTGGGCAGGGCTCTCCTCTTTAACTCAGATTGTTTCTTAAAGGGCAGGGATCCTGTAAGAAGCCCACGGGCTTTATTAGAAACCATGACACACGGCCTTATCTGTCCAAGTCAGCACGGAGTTCTGAGAGCGGACACACATGGAAAGGACACCTTAGTGAGCGGGACACTGGAGGGTAGCTGCAGAGAAGCCTCCTCCAATAACACTCCATGCCCAGACACAGGACAAACCAGGACGCACAGACTAGGGACAAAGTCTGTGTCCTACTGACATTCCACAGACCCATACCTGAAGACCTGGGCTTCGTACCCCACATGTTAATGCAGGGCTTTCACAGGGCAGGCGCTCTAGCCCAGGGAGCCACTCTTTCAGAGGCTATCTTGGGACCATAATGGGAGCTTCTGTGCAGACAGGCCCCTGGCCTGTCTTTGCTGCATTGAGAAAGATGGAACTTTGAGATGAGACGCCTGCCGCCGTGTGTGCGGTCTAACAGCGCTGTCAGTGTTCCTGCGTGTAGAGCCCAGCCTCGCTGTTCCCTTCACCTCAGACCTCCAGGGTGGGACGGCCACAGAAGGGCGAGGAAGCGTGGTCCTGCCAGCCACAACGCCGCCATGTTCTCTCTGGCACATGCCTACCTCTTGTCAGCCAGGTCCGTCTTGTTGCCCACGAGCATGATGATTACGTCACTGCCCCTCTCTGTCCTGACATCATCAATCCACTTAGAAGTCTGCTGGAAGGAGTTGAGATCTGGAGGCAGAAAGTGGGGACAGAGTGAGAAGGAGGGGTCCCGGGGGCAAGCATGTACCGAGACACCAATCCAATCTCCATACACCAATTAGGCTGGGGCTAGATGGGGAAGTGAGGTCTGCCCTGGGATCCTGGAGGGTCCCCAGCACTGCTCAGCCATCCCAGGGAGAGAAGCTACCATTTTTGGAAAGCTAGGCTGTCACAATTTCTACACAAAACAGTGACCCTAGAGGTCACGCAAGCGTCAGAGCTGATGTGGGGCTCATGGAGGAAGGTGGAAAGGAAGGTACTGGGCCTGGCCAAGCTGCAGACCACTGAAGGGAGGACTCAGCAGCCCCTAGGAAATGCTGTCTCACCAAAGGGATGCTCGGGGGAGTCTGAGGAAGGCCATGCTGGCTTGGGAAGAGAACCCACAACCCTGCGGCACATGAATTCAGTACCAGGCATCTATGGGCAGCGACATCTCCCTCATAGAGTCATGGAGCTACACTCAAGCTCAGCACCTAGAGGGAGGGAGGTGGCTGCTCTCCACAGCCGATGACACAGGTCCTTTGGGATATCGCTCCCATCTCGCTAGGGTGTACAAAGAGCATGTGGTCAGGAGGACAGAGGGGAAAGGCAGACCTGAGGTGGCAGGCTGGAGCCATGAGTCAAGCGTGCCCCTATCCCTTGTGATTTCAGGGACCTCACAGCGTCCTCTACAACTGAAGCCCGAGGGCTTCCCAGCTGTGTGTTCCTCTAGATGGTCTTGGGTAGCTGGGCTCTGCATAAGGCCTGCCCTAACCTCTGGGCTCCCACTGAGTCTGTGAAGCCCTCTCAAGATCCATGTGTGCCAGCAGGGCTGCCTCTAGGGATCCCTGGGAAGAGCTGGAACACATGTCAGCCAGAGCCATGGAGGGCACAGAGGGTTAGCCTTGTGAGTGTCTGCCTCCCACACACGCAGGACCCTGTCTTGTTCAGCCTCATCTGTCACAGGAGTCTGAAGGACAGTGAACCCACCAGTGGGCCAAGATAACACACTACCCCCACACTGAGCACATCCCTGTATACACAGTCACATAACACAGGTCTGATCAGGATCACACTGAACCCCAAGAGCCCCCTCATCCCAACACAGACCCTACTCACTAGTGATGTCGTACACCACCACAGCCACTGTGGAGTCCCGGATGTAGCTGGGGATCAGGCTGCGGAACCGCTCTTGCCCGGCTGTGTCCCAGAGCTGCAGTCTAACCTGTAAGGTCAAGGCAGAGGCATTAGTGAGGCAGCGGAGCCCTCCTGCTAGAGGGGTTGGAGGCCCAGATCCCATGATGCTGGTACTACCCAGACCCATTCTGGTCTTGGCAGAGACTTCCAAGAGGGCCCAACTGAGGGCTCTAGGGGATAAACCAGACAATTCCCCCTCTGTTCTCCCAGGTAGAGACCAGGAACTCACCGTACGGTCTTCCAAGTACATGGTTTTTGACAAGAAGTCAATCCCGATGGTTGCCTGTTAAAGAACAGCACAGGGAGGTCAAAATGGCAAGGACTCGTAAAGGAGCCAAAAGCCCTGGCACCCCAGGGAACGGCACAGACAGCAGAAGGGGTACCAAAGCCAAGTCCCTCCAGTGGCCACCGACTTCCTTCTCCAAGGAGGGAGCTTGAGCTAACTGTGTGAGAATGGAGTTATGTTTCCAGAGAAGAGAAAAATGCTTCCAGAAGGGTTAGAGAGCCCGGGGCATGGAATAGAGGCTCCCCAGGAACAGTCCACCGAGGAGAGCTCCCTACTGCTCTCCAACACCCCCCTAGTTCCCTCAGCCTCTCCCTTGAACTTAGACTTGGGCTCATCATTGCTCTTGGGAGGGTCTGCAGGGTGGGGGTGGGGTGGGGGTAGCAGAACTTGCCACTGCATGGGAACAGAGAGCAGTGTGCCCCGCCTCAGGAGGGGGTACTGTGGACCATCCACAATACTGTCTTATTAGAAAGCCCAATGATCTCTCTGCTCCTCACGCTGCCAAGTCAAGGGTTGCCCCTCACCCACCCTGTGCCACTCCGGTGGCTCTTCTGTCCTGGTGGGCAACCCCACCTCGCTGGCCCTGTGCCTACAAGCAGGAACGAAGATACTGTCAATGTGAAACGGAGCCAACACCATTAAGTAGTAACGAAGCCTCAGATAGCCAGGCAGCCAGGGCAAGGTGTCAGCAGCATGCTTCACCCTGTGCCAGGAGTCACCTCGTAAAATACATACGGCTTTGGAGGAACCTCCACCCAGTGAAAAGGCTCAGTATAAAGCTTTGTGTGTGCTGAGATCCCAACTTGATCAAACAAAGTAGACAGACGGTTTCCTATCTTCTCAGACACTGGGACGAAGAGAGTATGTTGTGTACTGGTATCTGAATTGGGCAATGCAGATATTGGTATCTGAATTGGTATCTGAATCTTGGGCAATTATTGCTTTCTCTATTACACGTGTTCATATTTTCTACGATAAACAGTTAATAGCTATGAATTTAGAAGAAAAAATCCTTGAGATAGCCACACATGATGGGCCATGTCTGTCATCCCAGCACTTTCGAGGTAGAGGAAGGAAGAACGGAAGTGTGAAGCCAACCTGAGCTACATGGTGAGTCCTGATTTTTTTTTTTTTATTTTTTTAAATCTTTGAAAGAAAAGGTTTCACTGTGTGAAAACCTGCAGTGAATACAAAAGACACCAAGGGGAGACTTCGGTGTAAATACAGAGATCTCTGTCAACGTGACTGATTTAGAGTCACCTGGGAGACACACCTTGGGCTGTCTGGGAAGGCATTTCCAAGAGAAGTTTACCTGAGCAGGAAGGCCTGCCCTGAATGTGAGCGCCACCCTTGGGCTGGGGTCCCACACTGAATGAAAAGGAGAAACAGAAAGCAAGGTAGGCAGGCCCCTTTCCTCCCTTCTCCCTCCTTTTCCTTCTCTGGGTTGGTTAGGGTTTGTTTTGTTTTGTCAACTTGATACAAACTAGAGTCACCTGGGAAGAGGGACTCTCAGTTGGCTCCACCAGGTTAGTCCTGCCTCTGGATGTGTCAGTGGGGACATTTTCTTGATTAATGGCTGATGTGGGAAGGCTCAACCCATTGGGGATGGGGCCACCCCAGGCATGTGGTCCTAGGTGCTACAAAAAGGGAAGTTGAGCAAGCAATGAGGAGCAAGCCAGTAAGCAGTGTTACCCCCCAGTTCTGTATCAGCTCCTGTTTCCAGGTTCCTGCTTGACTTCCTGCTTGACTTCCCTAAATGAAGGACCATGATGGAGAAGAACAAAACAAACCCTTCCCCACCAAGCCGGTTTTGGCTGGTGTTTTATCATAGCAACAGAAAGAAAACCAGGACCAATAATACTCTCTCTCCTTCTAGACTATGGATACAGTGACCAGTAGCCTCATGCTTCTGCTACTCCGTCTTTGCCATGACGGTTTCGAGCCCTTCTCAAACTGTGACCCCCAAATAAGTCTTTCCTTCCTTAAGCTGCTGGTTCCCAGGCATTTGGTCACAGTACTGTGTTCAGTATCAAATGCCATCTCATTCTAGGATGAATGTGCAACTCACAACTTAAGAGCTACACACACAGCGTAGACACAACTCAATCCACTCGGCCTGCAGGGACGACAAGACAAGCCTGAGGAAGCCAGAGGGCATGCCTCGTGACGTTGCTGGTCGGTACAGAGCTGGGGAAAACCCGTGTGGAAATCTTGCCATTGCTAGCCTGGCTATGCAGTGTCCCACCCAGCACACTCATGGCGGCAAACCTAGAACCAATGAGCACTTGCAGACAGGTTGTCATTCCCCAGCGGACACACCTTTTCACTCATCAGTGAGGGGACTGACAACTCCATGTCTACTCAGAACATCGAGGAATGTGCCAGTTTTCAACTTCACTTTTTGTGCAAGATCCTCACGGGGTACTGCATTCCTTCTTCAGTGACCCCTGAACCAAAACCAGATGCCTGGGCTCAGGATCAGAGGCAGGGGCTGCCAGTTTTCCCTTAATACAGAATTCGAGACACGTGATGAGCTGGCTGCTGCCCCCCGTCGAAGGCCATGTTTCCCATGGCTACAGGGTGGTGATGGATCTGGAATGAGAGTTCTTTGTGGGTCAGTGTGCCCTAAGCTGCCCCCATACCCACTGCTGGGAATGCAGATGGTGGGGTGAGAGACAGCGGCTCACCGGACTGAGGGAGGCAGGGCAGGACGACTCTCAGCAGAGCCCATCCTGACCGTGCAGTTCCCTTGGCCCCGCTCGGCTGCACACACCTATTCTTGTCGTGAAAGAGACTCTCCAGCTTCTATCGTTTTTCCCAAGCTACTCTGTCAATGCAGTGTAACGAACCTTAATCAACAGGGTGAAGGACCATGGAAAATCATATCCTCAAAGGTCGGCACCTGGACGGTGACAGGGATGTTACTGATAACAACTGTGACGGTGACAAGCCTTTTTCTCCTCGTGTACACACAGGGCCCCTCACTGTTACAGAGCCAAGAGTGGTCATCAGATACTATGACAAGGAGTTATGCCACCGGATCAAGCCGCAGCCATGCACGGCCCAGTGGCTTCCATCATCACGCTCGCTAAAGGAACTGCATATTGTATCTCTGTTCAGCCTCAACACAGCCCGACCCTCTTGCATACTGACACCTCAGTGACGTCAGGTGCCTGTACTGCATGCCGCTACTGCTAAAATAGACTGAAATCCTTTGGAAATCCAGGAGCCAGAATAAATCTTCCTTCCTTTCAAGGTGCTTCTGTCAGAGCAGCGTGAAGGCAGCAAGTGCAGAGCTGGCGCCAATCAAGTGGTCATTGCTGTCACTAACGCCACCAGGCGGTTTATCAGCCTTTGAAACTGGTCTGTGTGAGGGATCTGGAAGAGTTTGAAGCTGTGAAAGTCATCACTCTGGTGAGAACTTGGAGGATGAGAAATGCTGACAACGTGGACAGCAAAGACGGAACTCACGTGGTCTCAGGTAGGGACAGAGACTCGACTGGGAACTGGTCTACAGAGCCACTTGTATCTGACGAAGAATTTGTTTGCATTCTACCTATGTCCTGAAAATTTGAGAGAGGCGGATATCAAAGGTAATGGAGAAAATGCAAGACCAGTTAGCACTCAGCCTACGGTATGGTTCTGGCGGGCTATTTTTTAGCTAGATTTACAGTGAGAATCGGCAACAAAATGCAGAGAAGAATTTCTAAAATTGGGATTTGGTCCTGAAAGGAAGGTGAAGATGTTTAAAGCTGTGGATAAGGGAAGTGTGGGCAAGACAGGTCGCTGATGTTAAAGTCAACACATTCATTCAGAAGCCGCGTGTCTGACACTGGGACAGCAGAGCAGGCGACCCGAGAATGAGTCCCCACTGTCTGAAGGTTCCTGAGCATAAAACTGAAGACAATCTTGAAATGCTTTAGAGTTACCAGGGTGTTCTGCTGGAAAAGGCCCGCCTAGGGAAATAGTTTCCTTGGCTCCAAGTTCAGTTACTGGAGTACTCAGGCTGATGCAGTCACGATCTAAAAGGTCTTAGCAGTGGACTTCACAATTATCCACCGGGCGCTATTTTCAAGTGTGCAGAATGCAAGAGTTTGGGGGTCTTTTTTTTTTTTTTTAAAAAGGGGGGTTTTCTCAGTGTAACAGCCCTAGCTGTCCTGGAATGGGCTCTGTAGACCAGGCTGGCCTTAACTCACAGAGATCCTCCTGCCTCTGCTTCCCGAGTGCTGGGATTAAATGTGTGCACCACCACCACCTGTCTCGAGTTTTGGGGTCACGGAGACTTGTACCTAGGTTTCTAAGGAACGCTGTAAGACCAAACAATGCACCCCAGGTTCAGGGCATGGAGTTACAAGATTTAATGTTTTGGTCCTGCTTTGGTTCAATCTTGAATAGATCCTTCTTACTTTACAGGTCACAGCTAAAAGACTATTTGGAGCCTCAGTAGAGACTTTAGACTTAGGCTTCTGATCAGCGTTGAGACTATGAGGCCTCTGGAAACTGGAATAAATACATCTCTGTATTACAAGATGGCCACGGACCTTTGGCAACCAGGATAGAATGTTTTAGTTCAAATCTCAAGAGTCTCTCACAGGCTTAGGTATTGAGTGTTTGTTCCCCAGATGGTGGTACTATTTGGGGAGGGTTTGGAACCTTTGGGAAGTAGGACCTGGCTGGTGGAAACAGGATATGTAAGGTGGTGTCTGGCATGTACACCAATTTATCTCGGTTCTAGTCTTGCTCTGTCTGCTTCATGGTCTGCTGTGATGTGAGAGCCTCTGCCACATGCTCATACTCACCACAAGATCACACTCACATGCTCACACTCACCATGTGCTCACACCACGTACCCACATGCTCACACTCACCACATTCTCACTCACATGCTTGCACTCACCACACGCTTGCACTCACCACATGCTTACTCACATGCTCACACTCACTGCACGCTCACACTCGCACATGCTCACACACACTCACATGCTCGCACTCACCAC